ACTAATGTTTTAGGTTATCATAAATGATAAAAAGAGAGGACTATTAGGGAAATAATTGTCCTAGACTCCTAGATATGACGTACAGGACCAACCCTGACGTCTGTTTACCTCCTTTAAGGACACAGGCTGCTTCAGCCAATAATGTTATTGTTCCCATTCTGTGACCGGTCAATACTGGGTCACAGATGGTCTGTATTGTGGGTACACTGGGACACTTCCTTCTCTGTTGTCTGAGGACTCCAGGGCATGACATATCCAAGGCCATAAGTGGCGGAAGCTGGTAACTTAGTGTGCCCAAACTATCTAAAGCTATCTTATCAAAACATGTTGATGACTCAACAAGAGAGAGGCAAGAGAGAGGCTCTCCAGAATTGACGTGGCAACTCTACCGTGAAGTCAGAACCTCTGGCTCTTGGACTTGTGATGTGAATCCTCCGGCCGTAACTCCAAATAAACCATCAGTGTTTGACATCAAAGCTCCTGCTCCTACCGTGTCTCCTTCCTGAGTCGGTGACTCTCACAGCATTGCTACACAGAAGTTTCCTCTACATCTACCAGGTGCTTCTCGTCACCCAGACAGCGGTCAAGGTCGCCGAGAGAGCTACTTGGGTCCACACCAGCCACTGCAAGGTCGTAGTCACAGGAAAGGAGAAACGGTAGAAGCAGACGACAACAAGTGGCGTATCTGAGTCACCAACGGAAGACGACAACATGTGAGGTGTCCGAGTCACCAACGGAAGACGACAACAAGTGACGTGTCCGAATCACCAACGGAAGACGACAACAAGTGACGTGTCCGAGTCACCAACGGAAGACGACAACAAGTGACGTGCCAAGTCACCACCAGCACCACACTTGCACTACATACACCAAAACACACTACACACAAGGTGTCACGAGCGAGTGCCAGCTGAGCGGTTCCATATGCCTCTGGTTCCTCGTTTGTGTTACCGGTGTGCGGAGTCTGACTGTCCGTGTCACAAAATCAACCGAGGGAATACACACACACACCCCATGGAGCATTCCCACCTCGTGATGAGGGCTCGCCTGGAAAGACGACAACGCAACCGTGAGCAATGTGGATACTACTGGAGAGCCTGGACAATCATAGAATGGTTCCTCTGCATATTTGCCATGATAGTTGTGTTAGGACTAGTCCTATATTTCATGTATCCATGGTCAGCACACAGCACATCAGGACAATCCTTTGCGCCACAGTGAGATAGACCAGCTAGAATCAGAAGAGTCTGATTTCGACACTACAATATAATCCATGTGAATCAAGTGTACCCTCCTCTTATGCTTACATTATATTGGAGTCTGTCCTCCACAAAAACAGCCAATTTTCTATGATATATTTGTGATGTGTTTACTTAAGCCAGCGATGAAGTGTATTCATTGATGTGTTATATCAGTCTATCCTGTCATTTGTTATTTTTTATGATTGATCAAGTATGATCAAAAGGGGAGAATGTAGTGGAAATTGCTTTACCTTACCTTATATGCTAAAACCAAATGCTTCTAAAAGCATTGTGTAACACTACTGTACCATTTTCCTATTATGTGCTGTTTTCTCTGCATACTCTAATGAGGGTTTTATTCCCAAGCGCTTCAAGGCCACAGAGCTGATTTGGCAGACTATGTTGACACTACTCTTCTTCACACAAAGTCTCACAAGAACTTCCCTATTCTGAGAACCGTTATACTATCTACAGCACAAGGACAGGTGTCTAATAACAATATGACCGTGTGAAGACAGATTTCTGAGCTTCCCGCCCTTTCTTGTAAGCTTTGCTATTATATTGTACTGCGCACACTCCTGCAGACTATCCTATACTCTGTGAGACCTGTGTCTTTTGTATTGTATTTGAAGCTTCAAATAAATAACCAGAAAGACAACTCTGTCTGTTTCACCATTTATTTTTGATCACTCTGACTTGTACTCTCCACAGTATTGACTGGGTCTAAGATTTCCATAACACTCTTTACTTTTTTTATTAATTAAAACCTCACTTTGTGGCTTCAGTATTCAGTTTCCTCTCCTTTTTCTCTCGGCCGGTTATTTTGTGTGTTGTTACCTCCCTTTGTACCCTTAGATTTAGAAGGGAGCGTAACATGGGGGCTCGTCCATTCTTTCAGAAAAAGAGTGAGTATTTGTTTGTGGTTTAGTGTTGATATTGTGTTTGGTAGCATTGACTTCCTCAGTTTAGATAGGTAGCTAAGTTGTGGTAGGCAGGATCTGGGGAAGTTTGTTATTTGAAAGAGTCAATGTTTATGTAGCCTCAGATATTTTGCCTGTTGAGTGAGGTGATTTAAGTGTGAGTGTTGAAAATTAGTTGGTGTGTTTAGTATGGCCTCCCTTGTGTGGAGTGTGTCCTCTCATACTGGTTCTAAATTAGATGCCAGGTTGAAAGTGAGGTTAGCTCGTCTACAGTGGGAGAAGGAGGAGCGTGAGCGAGAGTTTCAGTTCAGGAGGGAGCTGGAGATCAGAAAGTTAGATGCAGACACAGCTTTCAGGATACGTCAGCTAGAGCTGCAGACAGGTTCAGTTGGTACCTCTTCGGGTACACAACCATTGTCAGTATCTGCTGCTGCTTTTGATGTTGGTAGCAACATTCCGCTGGTCCCGGTCTTTCGTGAGTTAGAAGTGGAGATTTTTTTTGGTGCATTTGAGCGCATTGCTGCTGCTCTGCGCTGGCCAGAAGACGTGTGGGTCATACTTGTACAGTGCAAGCTAGTCGGCAAGGCTCAGGAGGCTTGCTCTTCTCTTTCTGTCGAGGATTGTATGGTGTATGACAAAGTGAAAGGTGCTGTTCTCAGGGCATATGAGCTTGTGCCTGAGGCCTACAGGCAGCGTTTCCGCGGCCTGAAGAAAACGTCTGGCCAGATTTATGTGGACTTCGCGAGGGAGAAGAAAATCCTCTTTGACAGGTGGTGTAGAGCGTGTAAAGCTGATGAAATTACCTCAATGATGCTGGAGAAATTTAAAAACTGTTTACCAGAGCGTACTGTAGTTCATTTCAGCGTGCCACACATGCTCATTCTGCTTCTCTTCCAGGACCCAAGAAAAAGAGATTATGTTTCTTTTGTCTTGATCCTGGTCATCTAGTGGCAGAGTGTGTAGCTCGGAAGAAGCAGGTGGCAGCTGCTGTGGAAAAGCCAAAAGACCGGCACCCGGTTGCGATGCGACAGAGTGGTGAGTTGCAGTTAAGTTCTGCGTCCGTCTGTGACAGTACTCTGTGGGTGTGGGTGTTTCCGTCTCTAAAGCGGTGGGTGTATTCCATGTGATGTGTGTGTTCCATGTGATGTGTGTGTTGCTCCGGTGTTGGCTGCTGGTGAGCAGTAAAACTATACATACCTTCAAAACCTCTCTTAAAGAGCACCTTCGGGGGAGAGCATTGCAAAACTGGCCCCGGTAATGGTACAAATCTCAACCTGTCGTTCAATGGACAGCTTCCCCCCCCCCATCTATGTATATACTCGCATTTTAGACTCTGTTACTAACTGTATATCTGTAGACTTGGTATGTCTTAAATGTCCGGTTAGGATGTATTAGAACGAAATCTAAAATGAAAATTGTAAATAAGCAATCTGTATGTAAAAAAACCACCTGTATGTAAATTGTAAATAAGCCATCTGTATGTCAAATATGTCTTATATGTCTTAAATGACATGATGAATTGGAAATGGGGGACCCTGATGTAAACAAGACGAAAGTCTTTCTCTGGTCTGCATCCCCTTAACAATTGTATGTTTTGAGCTGTACTGTACTGTACCCAATATACAAGCTGTTAATAAACTTTTCAATCAATCAATCATATAAGGTATGTTTTATGGGGGGGGTGTTACGTGCCGCAGTTGGTGCTTGTGTGTGTGTGTGTGTGCTTTTGTGTGGGTGTCTCTCTCTCTCCCTCTGATTGTCTCCAGGTGCAGCCTCTCCCCAGGTGCTCCCAATCCCCAATCAGACATATAATATAATAATATAATATAATCATCATAAAGGACCTGAGGAAGGCTGCAGTGGTCTCTCCTTCTCCTCTGGGCTGCATGTGTGCTGCATGTGTGCAGCATGTGTAGTGTCTCTGTCTCTGTCTCTGTGATGAGATGTGCTAGTAACCTGTGTTTAGGAGATGTGCTCCAGTGTATTGTTTTGTTTTAGTCGATTTCTTTTATAAGAAAGATGTTCTCAGTTTGTTTTGCAATTTGGCTGGTGAGCCTCTTTACTTCTTTTATTAATTAAAACCTCACTTTGTGGCATCAGTATTCAGTTTCCTCTCCTTTTTCTCTCGGCCGGTTATTTTGTGTGTTGTTACCTCCCTTTGTACCCCTAGATTTAGAAGGGAACGTAACAACAGGGAGAAAGTGAGATCGCCCTGAAGCACTGCAGTAATGGCCTGTATGTTATTAAGTGTGGCTAAGAATCCTTGCTCCATCAATTACCGTCACGGCTACATGCAATGTAAAGCTGAAGTTCAAGCCAAGCATGTCTTTGAAATCTGATTAGCTTTATCAGCAGAGAAGTGGATGGTATTTGTGTGGAATTTTTAAGAGGACATCACAACTGGAGAAACAACTAAACAATAACCCAATAAAATTAAGGAAAATACAAACCAAACTTTTATTTGATTTTTACCTGAGGCTTTGATTGATGTCTTACAATTAATATGAAGTCATAAATGTTGAATAACCTGCTTGTCTTAAAGTCAGTCTTTCTGAAACTGCACTAAAATGTAGAAAATAATGCATCAGTTTTATTGCGTGTATAATCTAGAACAATAAAAAAACCGCAGGTCACATTTGATTATACGGGGAGGCGTGAAGACAAAGGGGGGCGTGTGCTGTGTGCATGTGTAAACCCTCCTCTCTAATAAATTAGAGTCCGAGAGGAGTGAGAAGCAGAGACTAAAAACAAGACGTCCAAATAAGTTGGATGTGCCATCTCCACGCTGCGGTTTCTACCCATCGTGGCATCGGAGGAGAGGCAGCTAGTTACAGTCATGATGAAGATGACGTTCATTTGGTTGTCCTTTCTGCCGTTGGCCTTTGCTAGTGGTGGATTCCAGAGCAGCGATCTCCAAACTACCCACAGCAATGTGACAGTGAGCAGTGCCCCAGCCCCTCAGAGGCAGCAGACCCCCAACACAGGTAAGTGCATGGCTGCTCTTTATTCATAGGTTCAGATCGATTATTTTTTTTTTTTTTAAATGCATCAATAATCACTGCTACCTGTTGTTGACGCACACAATGTATAATTTAGACGAACGAAACTGTAATAATGTTCGGTAATGATTAGCCTACATATTTTTTTCAAGTAGGCCTATGTATTCAAAATGGACTAGCCGCGTCCGATTTGTTTGGTAATAAGAAAGACCATCCTTCAGTTTACATTTAAACACAAATAAAACGAGGACATCTCGTAGGAATAAAAAGAACTCCACAAAAAAAGCGATAAATAGACTTGTATTTAATTATAAACTGTAATGTGCCAAAGTATACATAGAACAAGTTGTTTTAAAGTTGAACATTAGCATTACATTTCACAAAGTTACTGAATTGTTTTCAAGGGAATATAATATCTCTACGCATCGATAACGCAATTTCAACCGATTGATTTTTTTACCCTATTCCATATTGGTTTTTTAAATGTAGCCTTTTAACTGTAGGAATACATTTTAATTGATCTTATTGGCTCTCCAAAATTTGAATTCCTGCGTGCATAAATCTCTTTATAGTGGAGATTGAATTGGAGTAAGATTGCAGGTCGGTGGTTAAATTCCTTTTTTATGATCTTACACGATCTTACACAGTGACAGATGTGATAACTACATGACCAAGAGGTTAGATATTTAGGATAACATAAGACGTAATGTATACCAGGGGAATGCAGCAAGTGCAATACTTAGGGGAAATAATTCAAATTTGAATAGTGCCAAAAAAGTGGAAACTCCAAACTATATTCAATAAAATGCTTTAACAGTACATATAAATTAAAAATATATAAATAGGTGATTTTCTGGGATAGGTCTATAGATTTATGGCCACTATCAGATTTGAAGAAAAGTAAAAATTCATGGTTAATAAAGAATGTTGATGATCTAATCCATGATATTGCACATTAATGCCTATTATGTCTTGGAGTCAATTAAAAGGAGCTGGCAAATAGAAATTGCCATAACTTAGCTGTTTTCTATTTCTGTGTAAGGCAAGGCAAGTTTATTTATATAGCACCTTTCAACACAAGGCAATTCAAGGTGCTTTACAAAAATGAAAGACATTCAGAAAAAGGCATTTAAAAACAGTTATTAAAAAGCAAAGATAATAAAATAAACATTAAAAGAAAAAAATATATGAATAAAAAGTTACAGTGCAGTTTAAGATATGAATAGTTATAAAGCTAATACTGACAAAATACTTCTCAATAACGTTGTAAAATAATACATATGGCACATGCTGTTAGTTTAAATAGTATCAAATGTTTACAGTTAGAATATAAAAGTCATGTTATGTATATATTTTTAATGAGACCGTTTAATAGGCGTGCAGATTTATGACAGCGTAATCTTAGTTTAGAGTTGACTGCAGGAGTCAGGAGTATGTGCTTACAGTGGTAGTAAACACAGTAACACCAAATCATTTCTATTTAAAGGGGTTAAAATTTAAACCCTAACATGTGAGGCAGCTCCCATGATTGATTAGCACAATATGATATGGAGGCAAGAGGCAAAAGGCCCTCGGCTCCACATATTCCACAAATATCTTCAAGGAAAACAGCTTAGCGGGCCTAATAATACATACATTACATCTTTCCAGGTATCTGAACACCATTTAAATATGGTTTTATTGTGTTAACATAGTGGTCAAATGCTCTTGGGAACTAACTGGTATTCATCCATATGAATGTTATGCAGTACATTAGGATTTATAGTATTTTATTATTAATAATAATTTAACAGGCCATGAGGCCTCCTTGTACCTCCAACAGCTTTGTAGAATTGGCCCCAAATGTTTTATCTCTCAGCGTGGTTACTGCGGAGATGATGTGTTTGGTTTAACCTCTTAAAAATAAGTCTCATAGGTTTTAACAGCTGCTGTGTCTGAAATAGTCATTTTTATTTATTTAAGTGATAAATGATTCTGTAAGTGCAAATTTGAATGTATTTGGTGTTTAAAATCCAGGGCATTCATGCACTCTCATAATCATGAGTTATGAATAAAGTAACTGGGATTTTTTTGTAAACTCTCATGCCAAGACTTCTCTTTATCTTACACTATATAGGGCTATACAGTACTGTAGGCCTAAAGTATGTTCCCTGAGACATTAGGAGATGAGATGCAGCTGGATTTCAGGACCTCTGATGGGGAGGGGAGGATGTGTCAGAAAGCTGGAGATGCCTTCATTGCAATCAATTTTATGATTACAGAATATTTATTTTATGATCTCAACATAACTGGTTTCTCATCCCATGATCAGGAGATGTTTCCAATATATTATGAGGATGTTACAGGGAATAAAACGATGCTTCTGTGCCTTAAAAGTGAGCAGGTGCACATATCATTTTGATACTTTTAGAAAAGAATATGCATTACAAGTAATAAGACAGATAATCCAATACGTAGTTAGCGTGTGCACCATCTCAACCAGCTACAACATCAACATTCTTCCAATATACTTGCATTAAAAATAACAGGATATGACAATGTCCATTCTGCACGATGAGAGCCTTTGATACATTTTGTACTCTTATAATAATAATTGGGAATCAACCACCTGATGCTTAGCTCTGTGGCTTTGAATGAACAGTAATGGTAATCCAAGAGAAGCAAAAACTGGGAATAATCGTGACTTGAGATTGGACACGGAGCAATCTCTATTATATTATATTATATTCTGCAGCAGTATTTTTTATACACAGTCTTGATTTTGTTTCAACAGTGCCTCCAAACCAAGGCCGACAGAGACCACTCTTTGCGAGGAGGGGACATTATGAACGGCAAAGGGTTCAAGTGCCGGTAAGAGCTGTGTGATTTATGTTCCAGTCAAAAGTAGAACGTAGCAATAATACTGTCATTGTTATGCTCCCAATTGACTTCTGTTCTCTTCACTTTCTAGAAGCCCAAAGTGGTCCCTGTTCGTCCAAATAAAACATCCAAAAAAGTGCCACGCAAACTTATGAAGGACAAGTGCTCTCAGGTTAAACAAAGCTGTTTGCCGCTGTCCGGCTGCTGTGACACCAATGCCACATGCCACTGCCGCTTCTTCAACGCTATCTGCTTCTGCCGGAGGACCAAATCGTAATACGAGGAGAGAACACAAGGAACACCGGTACAACCAAAACTGAGACGCAAAGATAAACTTAACCTCAAAAAACTTCAATATATCCAGAACTCCGCCGTCCGTCTACTCACTCACACCCGAATCCGTAAACACATTAACACCTGTCCCTCCCCACCCGGACCAACCTCAAGTCCTGGGGTGACAGAGCCTTCTCCGTTGCTGCACCCACCCTCTGGAACTCACTACCCCAATCCATCAGAGATTCTTCCTCCCTCACAGCATTCAAAACATCACTCAAAACCCACCTGTTCAACACTGCATTCAACCACTGACCACCCCCCTCCCCCCTATTTTCTGTTTTGTTTATCTCTTTTTGTATTTCTTTGTTATCTATTTGTTTTTTGTTTTTTTTGTTTTCTCTTGTCTTTATTTTTATTAACTCTCTGTCAAAGCGTCTTTGAGTTTCATGAAAAGCGCTATAAAAGTCCCATGTATTATTATTATTATTATTATTAACAGGGCAATGAACATCAGCCATGCCACAGTTGGGTTATTTCAGTTTATTCAACCACTTCAATACACAGACAGATGCGTCATATTGATGGGACGATAAGCATCATCCCTACCAAAGCACATTTATACCTCTTGTGAAAGGCAGCTGATGGAATAAACTATCCAGCTTAAGAGTAAGCTTAAACTCTCTTTAACTATATAGTATATTTGTTTTATATTTTATGTGTATTATATAATATACAACATTATTATACTGTATTTGTTTTGATTTGTTCAAATTGTGTAAATGACATGTTCCATCTTTAGGTATGGGATTGTAACAGCAGTCTTAGCAAGTAAGGGGAAGACAGAAGACAACAGTACATGACAATATGGTAAGGCACAAGTGGATGGTTTGAGCATCAATAATATTTGTATTAAGAATATACAGGCACATTTCTGTTTTAAAAAGAGGTTTATTATCTCAAATAATTAGTTAGGACCAGCTGCAAAAAGCAGGTTAGCATGACAGCAATGTATTGATCTTACTTTGAACTCGATTTATGTATACTTTTATGACTGGATGATTTAAGTATTTCTTTGATTGGTGGTTAAACCGTACACCCCAGCACGTGCACTCCGCTCTGCATCAGCCAAACAGCTCGCTGCACCATCGCTGCGAAGGGGACCCAAGTTCCCATCAGCAAAAACACGTGGGTTTGCTATCCTGGCTCCAAAATGGTGGAATGTGCTCCCCATTGAAATCAGGACAGCAGAAAGCTTACACATCTTCCGGCGCAGACTGAAAACTCATCTCTTTCGACTCGACTTCGAGCAATAAAATGAAAAACAAAAAACAAAACAAAATAAAAAGCACTTATATACTAACTAAACACTTACATACTAATAAAGGACTGTCTTATCTAAAGCCTGTTGAGTAGCACTTAAAATGTTTTGGCTCTATAAAACCTTATGTACTTGTATGATTCTGTTTTCTTCAAGTTTGTATCTTCTTGGTCGAATGCACTTATTGTAAATCGCTTTGGATAAAAGCGTCAGCTAAATGAAATGGAATGGAATAGAATGGTGACACCCAAGGGTTTTGTATAAAACTAAAAAAGGTATTAAATATATTTTTTGAGATTTTTGGAAAATACTTACTTGCGCTGTAAAGGTAATTTAGATAGACATCAATAACTACTGCACTGTAAATATGAAGCCAACACCGGTTAGCTTAGCTTAGCATAAAAGACTGCTCATGGCTTTCCTGGCTCAATATTAGATTTATTTACTACAAGATTATTCTGGCCAAAAGAGTGATACAAATATTGTGATACCTATAGAAAATAAAACAAATGCTTGGTTTATTGTGCACTTTGTCTATTTTTTTGCAAATGAATTACACTAATTTGTGCATGAGCGGTGAGGAGAAGGAGACATAAAAGAAAGAAACTGAATTTATATAAAAGGTGCAGAACTATTTCTACTATAATGAATCTAGTAAATATATATAGTGAATGTTACAAGAAAAGGTAACAAAATTAAGACATAAACACCAATAAAGCTTATCAATTAAAAGGATATAGCACTATTGTGTTTGCTTAATCTATGTAAAAATCAAAGTGTAAAAAGTACATAATGTGGGGTTACATGCTGCAGTAACTACAGAAACAATTAAAAAAAATATATTTTATTGGCACCTATGGTAAAACTCTATCATGGCCAATTTAATACATTCCGCTCCAATGATAGCTGTGTGTGTGTGCGTGCGTGCGTGCGTGTGTGTGTGTGTGAGAGAGTCAACATGATATAATTGCCACTGTTCCTTCAGGGTTGGTCCAGCAACAGTAAGTTATTTCTGTGTTTTCCTGTACACAATGTCCTTAAGTCCTTGTTTCTTATTGTGTAGAACAGGTATGACCTCAACTGTAAACACACACTTGTACAAAGTCGATCGTTTCTCTGTAATTGCTCAAATAATACATATTTGTGATTCACATCATATACAACCTTGCTGTTTGTTTGGGAGCAAACATCTTTGCTGTCATGGTGACATGGTGCTCTGCCCTCCATTCCTCCATTCTCTGTCTGGAATTAACTTCAAATTAAAAAAAGCTAACAGGAAGACATATTCTATAATAACATAGGTTAATAGCCAGCAAGAGGGTTGTTAGAGCAGTTATCATTTAGTTGTAGGTGCATGTTAGTGTATTATTGTGTCTGCTGGGTTTAGTAATGCATGAAACTGAAAAACACTAAACTTCGACAACTTCTCACACTACATAGCAAAAGAGAGTTACTGCCTTGGAAAATAGTGGGGGGTTTTCACATTAGACATGTAATTACTTATTATAGCTGTATGTGTGTGTGTGTTTGTTTTGTTCCTGGCTGCCATTAACCTGGACCCAACCTGACAATAAACCTGGCTAAAATAAGCTAACGTGCAGTGAGATTTTAGGCAAAATAACTGCCAAACGCTAGAAAACAATATGATGGAATACTTTAATCGGTCTGTGTCACTGTCAAATCACATCATGTATAGAATTGGAGGAATGAATTGGAGGGATGAAACTCTCTTTAATTTTATGACGAATTTTAATTTATCATAAGCCATGTGTTCTGTTCCAGACTATTGATTTGGTCCTTAATGCCCCCCAGAATAGCTTTATGGAGACCTCTACCGCGGTCTGTGAAGATTTTCTTCACTTTTTCATTAATAAGGTAAACTCCACTAGAGCTCAAATCTCTGCTCCTGCAATTGACCCCTCAGTTCCTGCACCGTGTTCTGCTGTCTTTAATCAGTTTGAGCATGTAGCTCTGTCTTTTGTACAGGAGATTGTCTCCAAGTTAAAGCCCTCTGGTTCTCCAAATGACCCTGTCGCGCCTCGACTTTTTAAAGAGGTTTTCCCCACTGTTGGACCATCTGTGCTGGCAGTTTTAAACAGCAGCCTGCTCTCAGGGAAGGTCCCCGAAAACCTGAAGCATGCAGTAGTGCAACCTCGTATTAAAAAACCCAGCTTGGATCCCACAGTTCTGGCTAATTTTAGGCCCATTTCCAAAATGACTTTTATGTCAAAGATCCTGGAGAAGATTATCTACAGTCAAATTATGTTTTTTCTGGAAGAGAACAACATACTGGAGGTTTTCCAATCCGGTTTTAAAACTATGCACCGCACTGAAACAGCGCTTTTAAGAGTCTTTAATGACATCCTTTTATCTACTGACTCTGGGGACTGCGTTGTGCTCCTACTTATTGACTTAACTGCTGCTTTCGATACAGTCGACCATGACATCCTGATCTCCCGCTTGGAGAAGTGGGTGGGCATTGTGGGAAAAGCCCTGGAATGGTTCAGGTCATATTTGAAGGACAGAACTTTCTCTGTCAGCCTTGGTGACTCCGAGTCATCCTCTGCTCCACTCCTGTATGGGGTCCCACAGGGCTCAGTATTAGGCCCCCTGCTATTCTCCCTCTATTTGCTCCCTCTTGGGTCCATTTTTAGAAAGCACGGCATCGCATTCCACTGCTATGCTGACGATAGCCAGATTTATGTCCCTCTAACAAAGAAGGAGGGTTACTTAATGCTAAATTACACTGCTAAAGTGCCTAGATGACATAAAGGCCTGGATGGCGTGCAATTTCCTTAAACTCAATGAAGGAAAAACAGAAGTAATGGTTTTTGGTAGCACCACTGACACCACTTCTGTAGACCTGGGTTCCTTGCATCAGTACACCAAGCCTACCGTTACGAACCTTGGTATTAAAATGGACCGTGAACTCAAACTTGAGAGTCAGATTAAGTCGGTGGTAAAAACGAGCTTTTATCACCTGAGGCAGCTATAGCCAAAGTAAAACCTTTTCTCTCCAGACAGCAGTTTGAGACAGTAATCCATGCCTTTGTCACCACCCGGCAGGACTACTGTAACTCTCTCTACATGGGGGTCAGTGGGTCCTCCCTCGCACGACTGCAGTGGGTGCAAAATGCCGCAGCAAGGCTCTTAACTGGCACACGGAAGTATGACCACATTTCCCCTGTTTTAGCTTCTCTCCACTGGCTGCCAATTTATTTTAGGATCCATTTTTTAATTATTTTATTTACTTTTAAATCCCTAAATGGCATGACCCCACCATACCTTGCTGAGCTGCTACAGCATTACACGCCGAACCGCCCTCTCAGGTCAGCGGACCAACTGCTCCTGAATGTGCCTAAAACCAGGTCAAAGCTCAGAGGGGACCGTTGCTTCTCTGTAGCGGCTCCCAAACTGTGGAACGCTCCGCCCCTGGAGATCAGACAGGCCTCCACACTGCCTGCTTTTAAATCGCTTCTTAAAACCCACCTCTTCTCCTTAGCGTTTTAACATTTGGCGTTTCAACATCTTTCAGAGTGTTGCTTTTTTGCATTTAAATTGTTTTTTGTTTTTACTTGTACTTGTTTTATGGTGTGTGAGCTAAGCTGTGTTACTTTTTTGTATGCTTTGTTTTATCTATTTGCCTGTACAGCACTTTGGTCTGGAGGTTTAAAGTGCTTTATAAATAAAGTTGTATTGTATTGTAATGGTCACACATGCAGAGCACACAGCACACACAGTGACATTTGTTCTCTGCTTTTAACCCATCCTATGGAGCAGTGGGCAGCTATTGTACAGCGCTCGGGGAATGTGTCACATGTCACAGCATGTCATTAAGAAATTGGGAGAATCTAAGAAAGTATAACAGTTAAGAGACCCATCAGATATAATAAGCACCAGGCTTACCTATTGACATCCACTATTTGTCAGACTTGTACAGTACAAGCCTTACTGTAATATCGGGATTTCAATCCTACAAAAAGATAACCTTCTTTTTATCGTTACTAAGGGAATAAAAACCTATATGCCCAGATTGTGCTGGGTATCAGATCTTAAAGAACAAAAACACACACTGACCGTGGCTTGTATCACGAATTATGTGTAATGTGTATCTTATCTTTGAATCATGAACATGATATATGGCACACCACAACAGGAGCTATTAAAGAAGCCAAAAAGAGCAGCTAGTGCCTCTGAGTTGACAGATTACATCAGCTGGGGCCAAACGTGTAAACATGTCTCTGTGTGGAGTGTCTGGAATGGGTATTTACAAAATCAACACATTTGAACATGAAAGTCCATCACTTGGACAGAAAAAATAGAGAACAAGGTGTGGATTATCGTAAAATAGCTATGGCTTGTGATCCCTTAAAATAAATCCATATCTAGGCTACTTATATTGCCACTACCAAAGTGATCTTTAAAAATAATTTGTTCTTTTCATATGGTTTTATTGTGTTTTCCTTACACCTGGTTTAGACATCTATAAAAGATAATAGGTCGAGCAACATTGCTGCAGATTTGACAAAAATAAATAAAATTGTACAATATAAGAATAAAAAAAAATAGATAATTTGATATGGGGATACAAAGTTAGAATTCACATAAGATATAATGTGACGTGTTGCGTTTGATTTGACAAAATAGTGTCTTTCTTTGTGAAAAAAAACAAACACATTATTTATATTTAAATTACAGTTATTGATGATACGCACAGGAAAGTTTGGTCTGGTCTAACTGTACAACAATGTACATCATACATAATATCCAATGCATTGACTCAAAGGACTTAATCTTGTGTCCCGTGTTATTTATTACACAGCAATATTTGGGGTGGCGCGTCTGTCGCCCGTTTGTTTTGCTGCTCGAAGGCTTCTGCATAGAGATGGCAAGAGAACCCTAGCAGGCTGTGGGGCCTATACGGTTGGGCTTTCTACCGAAAACCGTAACGTTAGTAGCGCAAAGACGCAGTTGGTAGGAAAGGAGCGGAACAGCGGACAAGGTAAAACAAAGCAGCCTAGCTAACTTAACCAATACCAAACCATTTCTTGTAATGTCAAAAATGAGTCCTTTACAAGTCTGTATTCCGCATCCTGTCAAACTGTTTTGACTAACGTTAGCTCAATTATGGCGAACAGCTAGCAAAGCTGCTAAATAACGTTGAAACCGTTAGCAAGCCGGCTAGTTGGCTGCAGTTGTATAATAGCTTACTTGGCTAAGTTTGTAATGTTAGCTTGCTAAACTAGCGGTGTCTACTTTACTGTAAGATGTACTGCCTAAACAAACACATATAGTAGATCAATTATGTGAGGATATTACCACCTGGCTAGCTAGTTATATTTCGTAATGGTGGAAGGATAGTCAGCCAGCGGTACGTTCTTAAGTCAAACAAATGTCACTAAAACGGGGATTTTTTTAATGGCTAACTTACTGATAGCTAACTAGCTGACTAGCTATAGTTGCAGACTACTGCTGGTAGCTAATAAATGTCGTTAGCAGTTACTGTACCTATATGACATGTCTGCTGCATACATACGCTTAACGTTAAACATGGCCTAAATTGAGACTTCTATCCGTAGGACAATTATTTGCCTATCAAGTTTACGTTACCCTTACTTTGTGAGCTAGCATTACCGTTAGCATGTCAGTAGACTACCAAAAGTTAGCCAATGTACGTTAACATTAGAGTTTTTGTCAGTCAGTGTTTGTGTTTACCCAAAAGTCATTGTTAACATAACGATATGGTGTAAATATAGTTTCAAAGTGAGAGCAATCTGCTCGTTTTATTTAATTATCCAAGGGCTTGTTTACTGAACTTTGTTTAATAAAGAAAGAAACAAAGGTTACATTTAAAAAAAATTGTCTACACGGTGATTCTTTGCACAATACCTGATTTAAGGCACAGGTAAACACAGGCCTGACGTGAGGCATACTGTTATCTATGTAACACTGTTTCAATTCTCAATACACCTTCTATAAATACAGAACAAAAACAACGTCCCACTTTCACTCTACAGTCCAGACTGATCATTTTAGGCCCATAGGCCTAATGGTTATGTCCCTAACTGACTAACTTGGGCTCAGTTAATACCTGATTGGAATCCTTTTCAATAGAACTAAAGCCCAGTGTTCTTACATTCATTTGGCTTAGTGTTCTTGTTTTGTGCTAGTGAGGTTATTACTTATTTATCCCCCAGTTTTGTTGAGCTGGGGTGTAAGGTTGAAGGGCAAATGCAAACACCCCCCTTGACATCATTGTCTGCCCAGATGTATTCCAGTGTAGGCAACTCTTAATACTATGTATGTAGCTCTGAGTTTCTGTGTTGGTGTGCAAAACGTGTGACATTAGGGATCCTTAAAGGTATGCTTTGCCACTTTTTATGTGGATATCCAATCAGCGTTGATGGGTTATGTTGTCGATTGAAGCAATACAATCTTTGATGCCTGTAATATGGAGAACCTCTGATTTTGTACAGTAACTACTCCAGAACAACACTATCCAAATTAGGCGCAACGTAACCTTTTTTACACAATGGAACTTACAACAAGTACATACAGTTTGTTTCTTAATGGCACCTACAACACTCCCCCTTACACAAAAAAACCTGAGCTTAAGTAGTTTGTTGTTCTTCATGCCTCCAGATGTCACTTGCACGTCAAATGATGCTGCTTGATGTAGGAAGAACAGATTTGACTGCTTTGTTTATAGAGGATGTTTTACTCAAAAACACTGCTGTACAGCCTTGCAAAAAAAACTGGGCACATTGCAGTGAGTGATCACATTCTTGCAGTTTAAAACAGGTTCAGGGAGCTCAACAGCTGAAAAGTGAAAACAAAATTGATCACCCTTCAACTGTTTATTATGTAATTTTGCTTCTGATAGCAAAAACCCAGAGTACCCTTAATGCAGTGGTTCTCAAAGTGGGGGACGCGCCCCCCCAGGGGGGCGCAGAGGCATGGCAGGGGGGGGCGCGAGAGACCAGGAGGAAAAATGGTTATTAAAAATAAATAAATCATATTTTGAAAAATTATTTATTCGAAAATAATATGATACAGTACTATTACGTCTGGGTCTCTGTGTTTCATTAAAGCTCGGCTCTTTGTGTGTGTGTGGAACGAGCCATTTTGTGTGCATGCGTGTGAGAGAGAGAGAGAGAGAGAGAGAGAGAGCGCACCGGTACCGGAGATCGTTGTTGTTAGCTTCTGGTGCTAGCGAGCTACGCTAACGGATATAAGGAGTTTTTTCAACAATAAAGTGGAGGAGAGTCCTCTCCTGTCAGACTGAGAGACTCAGTGAGCTAAAGGACTCTCTCAGTGTTATCCCAGTGGGTCTCAAACATTTTTAGTCACCATTAATGTAAACAATTATTTCCGAGGCACATGTTTATATGATCATTATAGTTATAAAAAAATAAGAGAATAAATTAAAAACAGGTATGAAATACTATGACATTAAAAAAAGAATAAAGTTTAAAAGGGGAGTGATTTGTAAAATATCCATAAAGAAAAAGTAAATCTGTTTACAGTTCTGTTTCAAATGGGTGTTGAGAGATGTATCCATAGATCTCTTCATTTTGCTCTCAAAGTGCACCAGATTGATGCTTTTAACTTAAATATTTAAAAATCTTCCCGGGGGAGCTTGCCTCCGGACCCCCCTATGTGAGGTCCACACACCACCTAGAAAAATAGCACTTTACCCCTGCTTACACCTATATGCCATGAGCTGATTATCTAGCCTTCATTGTAACAGTCGCAGGTACACTGTATATGCGTGGGGCAGAGTTCCCGTTAGCCGGTAAATACCGGACTACGACCGGTAAAATATGCTGAAGACCGGCAAATCTAAATCTCTCCGGTCAAAGTGTCCGTTCAAAATCATTTCCGTTTAGCGCAATAACGCATCAGTTGCGCAACTTGCGCCACTTATGTGACAGACAAAAGAGTATGTGACAGACAAGAATAGTCAATTCTAATGTCTAACGCTTAATGTCGAGAAAGAGATGTCCTGGATGGGTTGATTGTGCGTTGATCTGTTGGTAATGTCTCGGGGTTCCGGTGGGCATGGAAACAAATGCATAATGCGGCCTCACCCGGTTGCATAGCCACACTTATTGTTTAGGTGTCTTTTAATAAGCAGGTAGTCATATCATTAGCTAGAACTAGCTGGATCTGATCGATATGGACATAAACACGAGTCTAATCTGACGGGAGAGAGAGATCAGCTGCTGCTGACGAGTCGACACGCAGCCCTGCATGATCACATGCAGCGGTGAGCGGACAAAACACACACTTCAGGTTAGAATATCACACGTAGCTATTTTAATGACCTCTCAAACTACCTAAACTAGTTATAGATATGTTTAGTTTTACTGTCGGGTCACTCATTACTGATCCGCGAGTTGCATGAGACTGAAGGGCTGTCAGGAGAGGGAGAGAGCGCTCCGTTTATTATTCCCGTGTTATTGTAAGTTACTGAACACTTTTGAATAATATAGTTAATCTACTATGATTAGTTTGTTTAATATCGAATCATATCAATTTGTTTTAAAGCACAATAAATAACAAAGAAGTCCTTTGACCGGCACTTTTCTCATTTTGTCCGGAAGATTTAAACTTTAACGGACATGTTGACCGGCGAAGAAATATTCTAACGGGAACTCTGGCGTGGGGAGTAGAACATAGTAGAACATTCCTCTGTAGCGCCCGGTACATTAATGGGAAACCCTAAATGTTTAAGCACCCTCTATTAAACGTCAAGCTACCCCACAGCACCCCCAATATAAATCTCTGGCGCCGCCACTGAGCCTGACTATTTGTGTTGGGGGGGGGGGCCCGACTTGTTTTTTTCTCCAAAGGGTGGACCTGACAGAAAAAGTTTGAGAATCACTGCCTTAATGTGACATAGTAGAACCAGGAAGTAACAAACCATAGTTACGTTAGAGCCTAATAAACTCTGTTATTCCTGTGAGGTCTGATGTTACCCCTGAAAAATAAAGAGTTTAATGGCTGACTTCTACTGTAACAAGAATACTTTTTTGAATGCCTGCAGTATGCGCTAAACTAATTTCAGCCTTCTCCTAAAAATGTGCTCTTTTGTCTTTTTAGAAGAACCATGGGACACGGAGTGGGCTGAACCAGAGGGTCAAGCAGCACACGCCAATTGTAAGTATACATTGTGTAATATGGGAAGCAATTGGGAGGATAAACAAATCATAGACGTAATGAAATTAAAATGTTAAGAGCTGAAAGAACTTTAATCACAAACTTCAACCAAATATTAATGTGTAGAAACAGCTTTTCACAGCCTGTATTTTTATAGAAACCCTGCTAAGTTTACATTTTTCCTTTTTATGATTTTACTGGCTATATGTCTTGTGGGTTTGAAGTTTGCTTTATTTGTCTGTGCGGTTTTGAAGGGTTCCCACTGTGGCATATGACATGGCCACGGCCTCATCCAGAGCAGAGTCCAGCCATAACCACAGAGGAACGACACAGCTCCATGCCATCGGTGAGTCCCGGACACTGTACTGGAATTGCAGTGTTGCTTGACCCTGTCCTTTCCCTGGAGAGCTCATGTCTATCACTGTGAATGATATTGTCAACTTTATAGGGAATTTGTCAAATGTTTAAGAGGAAAAAATCACTATATACTGTTAACTTCCCTTTATGTACACACCACCAGTTTCCTGTGCCAAAATCAAGAGGAAGAAGAGCCTGTTTGGGACAGCCATTTATGTGGAGGTGACAGCGGAGGGGCAGTCGCGCCGCACAGCAAAGTCTCACAGCTCCTCCAGTCCTAAATGGGATGAGAGGCTCACTCTGTAAGAAGCAACAGTTGACCTCTTTTGTATCTGCTTGTCTGTGTGTGTGTGTGTGTGTCAGAGAATGTTATATACAAAAGTTCACCTTCACAGTGTGCTTCCTAAATGAGTGCCAGGGACAACTCGTGAATCTCCAGTTATTTTAGAATTCAGAGGAGATAAAACTAGAGACAGATTTCTGAGTTGAGACATAAAGTATGTTTTCCCATAGTCTGTCGCACTGAAAGTAGACTGTGGGTACAAGCCTTCTTACAAGATATGTTTTCTCCTCTTCCCAGAGCTTACCACAACAATATGCAGTAGATCACACTGAGCAACTTCATTTGGAAGATCTTGAGGGAAACCGAGCATAGTTTATAACAGGTGTTTTTAAAAACAATGCAATTCCTGGTGTGGTTTGTCAATATAGGTTTAAGAAATGCAAACAAGCCAGTGAGTTTTTCCCCTAATAGCAACAATTGCGTTTCTTACAGCACTGTGGAGATATTTGTTGCTATGCAAGAATAGTCATCTCATACCCCCCCTAAAAAGAATATTCCTAGAGTCATGTTAACCTCCAAATGGCCCTTGATCATGAAAAGCTGATGAGAGATAAAGATAGGCCTGTCACGATAATTAATTTAGTTGGACGATACATTTTCCTGGAAATTATTGCGATAAACGATAATATTGTCGGCACTGTTGCAAGACCATTTTAGACCACTGACATAATGATAATGTATAATAGTAATTCAAGTACATCCTTTCAAACAGAACTTTTTATTGAAACATTGCAAATGAAATGTGAAATAATATTCAAATATATAAATGATATATAATAAATAAAACAAATTTATTAAATTATAAAAAATGTCACACACAACCAAAACAATAAATTAAATAGACTCTAAACAGAGCTATATCTATCTATCTATCTATCTATCTATCTATCTATCTATCTATCTATCTATCTATCTGTATGTAGGTACTAGGCAGGCACACATTGTCTCACAAGCATAAAAAACCTCCTTAAAACAATAGTCTTCACAAAGTTTTCGAGCAAGGAACACCAACATGTTTGCATTGTCGGACAAATGCATCTTTGATTGTAAACTGTCGGGAAGGTGAGGGCTCTCCATCTCCAGCTGCCGTGTTTGCTCCCAGCTGGGAAAACGGAATGGGGTGGTTATGTTTCAGGTGTAGTTTAAGGTTGGTCGTATTGCTAGCTTTTATTGCTACCTTTTTAAAACAAATGCAACATAACGGCTCATTCAAGTCCGTAGGTTTGCCTCGTTGATTTGGCAATCCAAAATATCCCCACACCGGAGATGTGGAATTAGGTTTTGCAACCAATTCCATTTAACTTCAAATTATCCTCGAGTAAGTCACACGTTGTCTCCTGCTTGTCTCTATATTATTCCTTTGGCTGCTACACTGTTGCACGCGGAGTGTCCTGACCTGGCTGTGTGTGAGCCCCGCCCCTCACAGCACGCCTGGCCGGCAGACACAGCTCGCCTGGCTAAAATGCTAGTCACATCCTTATCTATACAAACACGCATGTAAACGGTAATTTATCGAGGTCAGAAAAGTTATCGAGTCCATTTTTATTTATGGTACGAGAAGTCAATGTATTGCTTATCGCGACAGGCCTAGATAAAGATAGAAAACAGATCTGTCCTCCTTTCTAGGTATTTTTCTGTTTACAGTAGTGCTGGGGGGAAACGATTATTTTGAAAACGATTAATCGGGCAATTATTTGATCGATTAGTCGACTAATCTAACGATTATTTTTCTGTTGTTCAATTCATAAAAAAACGTAATGTAAAACAATTTTTTTTTACGATACTGTGTCTCAGGGGATCTTAATATTTAAGAACCTATTAATGTGTTATACCAGATTAACGGAAATAATCTCAGCTAACTGACGATACACACCATTTTATACCAAAACAAAACACAAGTCTCATAAGAAGCATCTAAATGACCCCTGAGCGAAAAATGCTAACGGACATTGGCACAGAACTCAAGATAAAAGTACCCTTATTACTTATCGTAGCTGCACTTACAATATATCCGATTAAAGCTGAGACTCCACAGATTATGTAGGTATATAGTATCATCACTGAGTGATCCGGACTCGCGACAGGGGAAGCAAATACAGTCATCACAACACGTACCTTCACAGAGCTTCTCGGGAGATCGTCTCACCACCGTAATCTGATCAAAAGACGTGTTCAATGGCAATAAAATGAGAAAAAACGCGGCTGAATCGGTTAATCCATAGGTTTTTAACGTCTATGTATAAAACAATGATTGAATTTATAATCCATAATTCCATTTTATGTAAAAATGTAAATGCAAAAAAAGCAAATGCTAGCTGCTAATGGTAGCCACCACAGCTAGCTGCTGCTTCTGCTAGGCTATGCAGCAGTCTCAGTGAGATATAAATATATACATATCTTTGCGTTTTGGACTAACTTTAAAATATTCCCATGCTTTTGAAGACCTAGGGCGAGATGTTTTCGTTTGGGGGCTTCGTGCGCAATCCTGTGAGGAGGAGGTGGTAGACGTTTCAGTCTCCATTGTGTTTGAAGTGCGATTGCGAACTGCTTGTTGCTTTGGGTGACCCACGTGTGTGTAGCGACGCGTCGACGCGGAAATATGTCGTCGACGATATTTTGAAGTCGACGCGTCGCTACAGCACTAGTTTACAGTGTATCCTTATGTAACACACACAAGGTTGGCGGTTCATGTGATCATTATAGTAACAAGGGAAATGTTATATGACAACACAAAGAGCTCATTGTATTATTTTAGACTTTTACAGCTCTTTGACCGGGTAGCCTGGCTAAATGCCAGAGACAATGCTTTATTTTCTTGATTGGGTAATTATTGCGAGCAGGACAGAGTGGTGCTGTCTTTGTGATCCTGTCTTTGCACCGTGGATGTTTGCCAAGCTGTTGTGAGTCCTATCCACGGCGTCTAGGCTATAAGCCTAGATATTTATCTTCAGACTGATGCGCTAAACCTTGAAAACATTGACTGTGCTGCGTAGTGTTCATTTTTTTGAAGCAGTATTATGTGAGCAGAATATATCAGTCATTTCTGCAGCAAGGACACATCCAGTCTGTACTTGAGCAATGCTATGTTTTGACTGTTGGCCTTTTTTCTTATTAAGTCGTAAATATGTGCAAGTTTTGTTAAAGGTTTAAAGATTTACATATGTGTATTTCTTTTTGTCGTTGACCTTTTAGGAATGTAACACCGCACACACAGGTTGATTTCAGAGTATGGAGTCACCACACCCTGAAGGCGGACGCTTTGCTGGGCAGAGCCACACTGGACCTCACTCAAGCCTTGGAGCAGCATGACAGGAAATGTATGATAGGCCACATCAAACTTACAGACCTGTATTATAATATAGGGTTGGATGTGTTAATTATTTAAAAATACATTTGTGGCATAGTGACTAAAGTACCAGACCAATGCAGACTCAAGAACTGTAAAGTTGGACTAGCTAATGAGGATTATTACAGTTTTTTTATAATCAGAATCACAATGACAACATTTTTTCTTGTTAAGGTTAACAAATATCAGATAAATGTGTCTCTCACTGATAGGACGCTATAAAAGAAGCATGGTTTGCTTTATGTTTCTCTTGGTTTCAATCTATTGTTTTTCCTCTTCCCACACCATCCCTGTTTGGGCTGTACAGTGGAGAATGTGAAGGAGGTGCTGAAGCTGAGCGTGGAGCAGAAGGGGGCTGTGGTTCCCACAGGAGAGCTGACTGTCTACCTAGACGGTCTGACTGTTACTGACCAGGAGGAACTGGCACCGCTTACCAACGGCAATGCAGCAAATGGCACCAGTGAGCTGAGTATGTTAACAGTGGGGGTGGGTGATAGTGGTGGGTTGGCCAATTTTCATTACAATGTGTACTGGTGTATGACGAGGAAGCACAGGGAGAGAAAAAAAGCCACAGATGCATGCATACAGAGGAATATACTGGTACTTTATCGCCTAACCCATACCCTCAATCACTTATCAATTATTATTTTTTAAATTACTCTCTAAATATGCACTTTATATCTTGCATTATTTTCTCCAACCCCTAGAAGTCCAACAGAATGGCGATGCCATCCATGAAAATGGAGACTCATCCTCCTCTTGCTCAATGGCTGCCAGCAGGTAAACAAACTTTTGAGTCATGTGATGAACACGAGGGCATATTTTTACATTATTGTCATACATATCCTTTATTTCACTTTGTCACTAACACTAAGAAAGTGATCACATCACTCCTGTTCTGAAGTCTTTACACTGGCTTCCTGTGTGTCAAAGAATAGATTTCAAAATACTGCTGCTGTTTTATAAAGCTTTGAATGGTTTAGGCCCAAAATACATTTCTGACCTCCTGCTAAATTATGAACCATCCAGATCTCTCAGGTCTTCAGGGACTGGTCAGCTTTCTGTCCCCAGAGTCAGAACTAAACATGGAGAAGCAGCGTTCAGTTATTATGCTCCAAATATCTGGAACAAACTCCCTGAAACCTGCAGGTCCGCTGCAACTCTAACTACTTTTAAATCCAGGCTGAAGACTTTTCTTTTTGCCGCTACTTTTAATTGAACTATTCATATCTTAAACTGCAACTGCATATCTTAACTTTTATCCATGTATTTTTTCTTTTAATGTTTATTTTATTATCTTTTCTTTTTAATGACTGATTTTAAATGCCATTTTCTTAATGTCTTTCGTTTTTTGTAAAGCACTTTGAATTGCCTTGTGTTGAAAGGTGCTATATAAATAAACTTGCCTTGCCTTGCCTTATTTATATATTTGTTTGAACCCTGGCATCCCCCTTCTCTTGCTTTTACGTTATTGTGCTACTGATATCAGTTTCTTAGTATTTGTCACACGGCGAAAGTGCCCTTCACTCCAAATGTGTTTTTGTCGTTGTAAAAGCCACTAAGGAATCACGTCTGCTCATGCAACAGACGGGAGGTTGGGGTGGGGGGGTGATTGGGATGTGGCTGCCTGGCTCCTCTCTGCTCTCTGCATTGCAGTTGCTGAGAGGACTGCAGACACAAACAGGGGTATATTTTAAACCTGGCAGTGTTTCCCCTCCCAGGGAGTTCCAGAAGGAAAAAAAAGGGCTCAAACTCGTTTTACCCTCCCTGCCTCTTCCCCAATATATGACTGCACTCCCAGTTTACAAGAGCAGAGGTGAACATTTATCAGCTAGAAGGTTCTTTGGGAACACTCTGCCCTACTTCTTTCCTCTCTTTTACTTAATGTGGTCTTATATCACTTTTATTCGATACATATTCCAAAAGGGCGATGTCAACATTTTCCAATCGGTTTAATATCAAGCTATAAAATATGAAGTACACAGAATTTAACCGTTAGGTGTTCAACTTTAATTGAATTGACTAACTCAGTAACATTTTCCTTACACGTTTATGGTCTCATAGTTTTAAGCCTGCTTTAATACATCATGGTGCTAATTTTGGGTGGAAAATGTGTTGGTATAGTAGAGTAAAATTATGTTTTGTGGATATGTCGAGAAGTAAAATCAGAGTTCACCTCATTCATGACCCTTTCTGACTTTCCCTTCTTGGTTGTTGGCTTGTTTTTCTGATAATGGAGTTGTATTGCTGGACTTGAGTCATACGACTGTTTTTGTATTGGTCTTGGTGTGGGAACGTCTGTGGCACCTTTTTAACTCTCCCGGCTCACAAAAGGGCCTCTTCTGCTGTACCAATTGCATCACCAAGCCATCCTATTCTGTCCTGTCCTTACCCCTACAAGACAACAGTCTCATGCCCCGGCCACACGAGGACGAAAACGGCCGTTTGCGTTACTGTTTAGTGTCATATAGACCATTCGGCCATACGAGGACGACCGAATACGGCACTAAACGACTGAGGAAACGAAAACGGGTCCCAAGGTGGATAGAACGGCATGCGCAACGCTCTGGGGGGTCCAACGGCTCTGTGTGTACGCCCTATAAAACACACACTTCAAGTCAGATCATCACCCTTAGCTATTTTATTTATTACCTCTCAAACTACCTAACCCTAACCCTAAATATGTTTATTTTTACTGTCGGCCGAGTCACTCATTACTGGATCAGCTGCTGCATGAAACAGACACTGGCGAGCTGTCTGAAGAGAGGGAGGAAAAAGAGAGGCTCCGTGTATTTTATTATTATAATATATAGATCCGTTATTCATTTGTTTTAAAGCTCAATAAATAACAAAGAAGACCTTTGACCAGCACTTTTATAATTTTGTCGGAAGATTTAAACTTTAATACACGTTGACTGGCGAAAAACTCTGCCCGGTTCCCTCGGCCCCCACCGTGGAGAATAAACAGAAGGGCAACCATGACAACCATGCTTCTTCGCTGCTTTTGTGGAGGAAGTTACAGCGCCACGTACAGGCTCCTGCATATGTACTGCAGCTTCTCCAGCGGTTGGAGCTAAACGGAGCGGTCTCGTGTGGACAGACACTATCCGGATGACTATTGTGTGTGGACGGAAGCTTGTTTGCGATTGCGTTTGCGTTAATCCTATGCGTTTAGCCGTTTTCGTCCTCGTGTGGCCGGGGTCTTAATGTCAAGTCAGTCTTTAATCTGACACACTCACTAACTCCATTTTATTACAAGCCTGTTTTGGGCCTGTAGTAAAAACGAAAAGTTATTGGCTCTTAAAATTATCATTATAGTTATAGAATTTGATGTGTTGTGTTTGCGTATCAAGATCAATGTTTTTGAACTTCTTCTGTGTTTTTCTTAAAGCACAGTGAATGGTACAGACTTGCGCCCAAGGTCCAGTTCCTGTTCGGCAACCAGTGGTTTGGGCTCTCAGGTGCCTTCCAGTTCCTGCAGCGCTTCCCTTGGTCACGTCATCGTCAATGGAGACGTCACACCCAACTCCACCCCAGTCCACCGACCCTCAGACAGTGACCCAGAGAGTAGGACAGGTGAGCTTCTTCTTTATGTCCGAATTACATTATCTGGGATGGTTTCAAATCTTATCACTGGGTTCTTCGTTTACTGAACATTAGTTTAACAACCAATTATCAAGTGAATACTCATCAACTAGGTGTATTCTTTCATGCAAAATGTTTCATATCATATTAAACTGAAAATCTAAAAAGAACAAATAATTAAACTTGGACTGAAGGAAACTGGGATGGAGATTTCTCAATATTTGTGTAAAATGCATAACTTTTCCTGATATCATGTCATGGGTGGGTGAGGTATTAATCCATAGATGTGAACAGCACCTTTGTCTTTCTCTGACCTGCCTGCAGTCAATGGAGAGTCCTGTGACGCTGCTCTCGGGCCATCGTCTGCTACAACAGGAGAAGTGCCGCCCCCTGCAGATGACCACCAGGACTGCAATCACGATTCCGCCCCGCCAGATCCCAACACAGCGCCAGACGAAACCCCCCAAACCCTGCTATGCTCCACACAGGCTCCAGCCTCCTCCTCTGCTAAGCCTACTGATGGCGCTGCTGCTGCTGCTGCTTCCTCCACTTTCAGCTCCCCGCCACAGGGGCCCCCCGCCATCACAACCTCCTCATCATCGTCCTCCCCGCCCCCAGCAATCGGAGACGGGAATGCTTCAGCAGAAGGCGGTAGCAGCAGTACAGCCGTAACTACAGATGGGGCCAAGCCCAGGGAACAGGCCCCTAATGCTGGAGCCCCTGACCCTCTGCCTCCAGGGTAAAAAATAAATCTGCTTTCACTGACTTTCACATTCCTTTTTTTTTTTACCAAAGCAATTATAATATTAAGTGTCAATGTCAAACACCCAAAACACACAGTCATATTTCGCAATAATAGGTAAACCTGTTATTACTACATTTCTCGTCATCGTTGTCCTTTCTAACAACTTTATGTAGCTTTTTGTTTCAATCCTTCTTTTGTCCCCCTCATTTATCTGTTTTTTTAGGTGGGAGCAGAGGAAAGACCCGCATGGGAGAACTTATTATGTCGACCACAACACCAGAACTACGACCTGGGAAAGACCACAGCCACTACCACCAGGGTGGGTGCCTCTCTCTTGCTCACTTTCTTTGGTCATCACCATTTCTCAGAAATGTAACTTTAATGGGTCCATCAGTACGTTTTACCAGTGGATTTTTGCCTTTCTTACATCGGTCTCCATTATTGGTTACTTTCATTTTTATATTTGCATCACGTTCCAGGCTAGCTCATTAATTTGAAGCTTGCATTTTGTGTGCCTGTGTGCTAATTGTCTCCTTCACTCTGCCAGTTGGGAGCGCCGGGTGGATGACCGGGGAAGGATCTATTACGTGGACCACAACACCCGCACCACCACATGGCAGCGTCCCACCATGGAGTCGGTCCGCAACTTTGAGCAGTGGCAGAGCCAGCGCAGCCAGCTGCAGGGAGCTATGCACCAGTTTAACCAGAGATACCTCTACTCTGTAAGTCAACCCCCACCCTTCCTACATCCTCATGTCCCCTTAACCCAGGGGTGTCAAACTCAATTTCATCGCGGGCCACATTCGCATAAAGGTTGCACTCAAAGGGCCGGTTGTAACTATATAAATATATAATATATATAAAATAATGTATTTGTGGTGGCGTCTTGATCCTTGTCTACAATTTAATAGCCACCTCTATCGGGGTTGTGGGTTTTGACGCGCCTCTCTTTGTTTCCAAACAATTCAGCGGAGATCGTAGTTGAATCAGATGAGCTTTATTCATTGATCCACACGGTACATACAGGAGGACACATTTCTTCGCTTCATAGTAACTAAAAAGTGTATCATTTTCCAAAGTAACAAAAAGAACACGGTCAAAAGACTTTTCCATTTCCCCGTCTATCACCCCCAGCTGTGTCCTATCAACCTACCATATATAGGCATAGCCATGCACGTGATACTGACGCACATATAACAAATTATAAGTGAGCCTTAAATGAATGCATTTTAAATCATAATGTGACTCACAAAAATAGCCGATAATTTACAGTATAATCTAATTTATATTATTATTAAGCCTAACATTCAGACAATAATAACAAAAGGTAAAATGGCTCTAACATACCAGCCCCTAATTGCTTATTACATAGCAATTACCAATAATAATACATCAACAGTCATTTTAACAAAACATAACGTCCATCCGTAGCATATTTGTATACTTAAGTCCATAGTATATTGTATACTTTCAAGTCCATGTAAGACCAGTACTGGAGTGTGTAGGTCTAGTACTAATTGTCTGTAATGGTCTGCGTTCAAAAGGCAGCCTTTGATGGGGAGGGGGTAGGAGACCAAGAGTCTAGTCCTTTGGTCTAACAGTCAGAGGTGCATGTGACTGAAAGGCTAAGGCTTAGTAGGCTCAGTCTGTTGTCTCCAGGAGCAGACATAACTTAGTTATGGGTCTTTCGATCGTACTTGTCTTGGTTTTAACCAGGACACTCCTAACAAGTCTTTTTGAACCAGGAAGGGTCTTAACTACGCGTCCCAGGAGCCAAGTGTTCCTTGGTGCGTTCTCATCAACGATGACGACCAGGTCTCCGGGGATGAAGTTTCTTTTGATAGTATTCCATTTGTGCCGTTCTTGCATCAAAGGAAGGTATTCCCTGGTCCAGCGCTTCCAAAACAGGTCAGCAAGGTACTGCACCTGTTTCCATCTTCTCCGTGAGTACAGATCCTCTCTCTGAAAGAGTCCTGGGGGCAAGATTGGATTTGTTCTTAACTGAAGTAGGTGATTAGGTGTGAGGGGTTCAAGGTCGTTTGGGTCGTTTGTCACTGTTGTGATTGGCCTATCGTTCATTATTGCCTCAACCTCACACAAGGCTGTGTGCAGAGCATCATCATCCAATGTTTGTTCCTTCAGGACAGAATGGAGGATCTTTTTAACCAGTCGTATTAGCCTTTCCCACACTCCGCCATGGTGAGCTCCGGAAGGGGGATTGAATGTCCAATCAATTCCTTCTTTGAGTAGTGTTTGCTTGATTTTGTTGTTATCCAGTTGTTTTACAGACTCCTCCAGTTCCTTTTGTGTGTCGATGAAGTTGGTGCCTCGATCTGTTCTGATGCTCTTTATTGTGCCACGACGACAGATGAATCGACGAAGAGCGTTTATGCATGCAGCTGTATCCAAATGACTGGCAGCTTCCAGGTGGACAGCATGGCTTACCAGGCAGGTAAAGATTACTCCCCATCTTTTGACATGAGCTCGGCCACGTTTCACCTCGATGGGTCCAAAATAGTCTATGCCTACATGAGTGAAAGGTGGAAGATCCGGTGTTATTCGATCAAGTGGGAGATCGGCCATTTTCTGCTCTCCAGCTCTAGCCTGTAGGCGTCTGCAAAACACACAGTTCTTTATGATCCTCCTTGCTGAAGAGTTAGCAGCGGATAGCCAGTAACGTTGATGGAGTTTGGAGAGCATGTGACCTCTTCCTGAGTGACCAACTTGATTATGGATGTGGCTTAATATCAACTTGAAGATATTAGAATGTTTCGGTAGAATCATTGGATGTTTGACCTCAGTTGGTATAGCCATCTTTCTAGTTCTTCCTCCAACTCTCAGAAGCCCGGCATCAATGATAGGGTCCAGCTTGTATAGGGAGCTTCCTCTATTGCACTGTTTTCCTTTTTCCAGCAAGGCAATTTCCTCTTTGAAATGCTGTCTCTGCTCGTGGCAAATAATGGCTTTTTCAGCATTTTCTGTGTCCTCTACTGAAAGTCTTAGTGCATTAGCTGTAGGCATATTGAGCAGAAGCATCTGATCCTTCAGTCTCTTTCCTCTATACTGCCTTGCTCCAAGATCAGTGGAGACATCTTTTCTTTTTTCTCTCATCTGCAGGAGGATTGTCTTTAATTTCATTATCCATGCAACAGCTCTTTTTAGGTCATTCCATGAAGAGTAATAGTCCAAGAGCTTGCTTGTTGGAGTTTTTTCCATCTTACATGTGACAATGCTGGTGACAATAGCTTCTTTGCGTACTTCAGGGTCATCTGGAAGGAGAGAACCAAGTTCTTTTGGAATACTTGGCCACTGTGCTTCAGATTTCTTCAAGAATTCTGGACCCTGAAGCCATCCTTTTGAACTGTAAAAGGATTCAATCCTCTTGAAGCGTCATCAGCGGGGTTGTTTTTGGTGTCTATAAACCGCCACTGGTTCACTTTTGTGAGGTTATGAATAACAGCAATCCGGTTTGCCACGAAAGTGTGGAACCTCTTAGTCCTGTTTCGAATATATTTCAGTACTGACTGGCTGTCAGTCCACAATACTGATTCCAGAAGCTCTCCTTGTAGCTCTGATCGGAGCATTTTGTCCATTCGTGCAGCCAATGTAGCAGCAGTGAGTTCCAACCTTGGAATTGTCATGACTTTTAGTGGGGTAACTCTTGATTTTCCCATCACAAAGGCTACGTGTACCTCCTCCATGTCATTGGTGAATCTCAGGTAACTTGCGGTACCGTATCCTTCTTCACTTGCATCACAAAAGGTGTGTAGCTGTGCAGTTTTCATTCTTCCAAAGTTCTTGGGTTTTACACACCTGTCAATTTGGAATCTGGCCAGCTGGTCTAAATCCTTGAGCCACTTCTGCCATGGCTTTGAGAGTTCCACCTGAATTTCTTCATCCCATCCATATTGGGCTTTACAGAGTAATCAAAGTATTTGCTTTGCCTTCAATATGAAAGGGGCGAGAAGACCAAGAGGATCGTACACAGAGCTGACAGTGGAAAGTATACTCCTTCTTGTAAGGGTTTTGTTGTTCACAGTCACAAGGAAACTGAATATATCATTTTCAATGTCCCAGTACATCCCTAGTGCTCTTTCATGTGGCAGCTTATCCCTGTCCAGATCCAAGTTTTTCACCTGTTTAGCCTTGTCTTCATCAGGGATGGATGCTAGCACCACTCGACTATTACTTATCCATTTCGTCAGTTTGAATCCACCAAGGGAACACATTTCTCTGAGAGACCTAATAAGGCTTATAGCTTGATTTTTTCTTGCTAGCGACATGAGGCAATCATCCACATAGAAATTTGATTTGATTGTTTCTGCCACTTCTTCATCAAATTTGCCACAGTTGTCCTCAGCTGTTCTTCGCAATGCAAAGTTTGCGCAGCTTGGAGAGGAAACAGCTCCGAAGAGATCGACCCTCATCCGGTATTCCTCCAGATTTGTGCTGGTTTCTCCTTCAGGCCACCCCAGGAATCTCAGCAAGTTTATGTTCTCCTCGTTTACACGCACTTGGTGAAACATCCCCTCAATATCTGCCATAATGGCGATGGGCTCTTGACGGAACCTGAGTAGAACACCAATCAATGAGTTTGCCAAGTCAGGGCCCTGAAGGAGTACACTGTTGAGGGATTTGCCTTTATAGGATGATGCACAATCAAAGACCACACGGATCGTTTTTTTACGTTTATGATAGACACCATGATGGGGTATATACCACACTTTGCCGTTTTCCACATGTTGATCGTCCGATGGTACTTTCTCTGCATATCCTTTTTTGATAATGTCACTCATAAAGCCTTTATACTCAGCTGCATAGGTCTGATCCTTCTGGAATTTCCTTTTTAGTGACATTGCTCGTTGCTCTGCCATTTGGCGGTTGTTTGGCATGATAATGTTTGGATTATCTAGAGGAAGAGGTAAATTGTAGTGGCCATCTTTAAGAGAAACCGAGCTTGATACAATCTGCATGAACTTTCGGTCATCAGCTGACATTTGTCTTTCCTCTTCATACTCTTTCTCTGGAAAGTCGTTAATATATTGTTTTTCAATTAGCTTCTCAAGGTGAACAATTGAGATCCTGTTCACTAATGCCACGGCGGTTTCATCATCCAGATCTGTGGAAGCATTAAGTGGACCATTAACGACCCATCCTAACAGTGTTTTCACTGCATATGGGCCATTTCCTTGGCTATTTATAACTCTCCATGGTTCCATAGCCTTTGGAGTATTTACTCCAATAAGAAGTCCCACGTCAGCATCTATTTCTTTTATTTGGATGTCCTGCAGATAAGGCCATTTCTTGAGGTCCGCCTGGGTAAGAATGTTTCTTTTGGTAACAGGGATTTTGTTCTGAGTGTAAACCTTGGGCAAGTTTATATATGTGCCATCTTCCATATGTCCCACTTCTAGACCTGTTACCTCAAAACTCCTGACTGTTTTCTCTGTTCCCATCATTTGAAGAAGGACTTCAGTTCTCCGTCCTCTAGCACCAAGCTGCCTCATGAGCCCTTCTGTGCAAAATGTGTCGGTGCTACCAGGGTCCAGGAATGCATAGGTCAGTATGCTTTTATTTCCATGGCAGAGTTTCACCTTCACTGGCACTATGGCAAGTATGCTGTCTTTACCAGCCCCGATTCCTTCACCTTCTCCTACTGAAACAAGAGCACTGCTGATGGATGTCTCATCAGGCCTTGCTCCCCCACTCTGCTGCTCTGCCT